TTAAATGGTGATTACCAAAACTAATATTAATAATGATCTTAGAGTTGATACTTTTATTTAACAAATTTGAATTGATTGGTCCAACCTGTCCCCCATTATCAAATAAGTTTTTGTATTTGTATGTTTGTGTGTGTCTAGATCATTATTGTTTAACAACTAAGATGCAAATGGACAACCACTTACTCTGATATTTGGAGTTGAGCTCTGTTGAGTCAGAAGTTACTAAGTTAATGAGCTCCTATCAAAGCTAATGGGACATGGGCTAGTTTGCGGGACATCCTTCCCAGCTCTGAGTGTGAAATACAGGTTGAACAAACTGTAGTAGAGCTTTTCCTTGGGGATTTTGAGGTCCAGCAGAGCTCCTCTTCTATATATTATGGGAATGTTGGCTGGATGGATTTCAAGAGCTAACTTAGTTGAAATCAAATTTTTGATTAACTGACCATTGGATTTGCCTTCTCCATCAGGCAGCATTGGATCTGACATCCCTGTCTTCATAAGGGAAGCATTTGAAAACACTAAATCACTTATTTCAGAGCTAAAATGAACTTCCAAGATCATCTGGCCCCTTGCCTTCATTTTGCAAATGGGGAATGCAGCCCAGTAAGGAAGAGGGACATGTGTATGGTCCCATAACCATTAGGGTCAGAGCTGGATTTAAATGCAAATCTACTCCCACCTCTCCTTAATAAATAGACAGCAGAAATGCAACTGGAAGTACAAGGCCGTCTGGGAGATTGGGGAACCCAGGGGTCTTTGCTAGACTCTGGATGAGGGTGCAAGGAATTTCTACTCAGGACTCTCAGGGTCTTCCTCGGCAAAGTCTCTAGTACTGCCCTGCCATCACATCCTTGTATCAAAAGAAAAGAGGCTGCTTCTCACCCCTCAGGCAGCCCCAAGGTCATAACTTAACCTGCGTAATTAGAACATCCATTCCAGAGGGGGAAACATTTAAAAGATAAAGAACCTCTTTAAAACAGATTCTTCCCAATACATTTTTTTCATAATTATAGTTTTAAAAGCTTATGGTGATGGGAGAGCTGGCTACTTAAGAAAAATTAGGAGTCTCATTTGGCAGGAGAAGATTCCCCAGGGGACAGCACACTGTCATTTTTCAGGGCCCCTGAAAAGAAACCCCCACGCAGACAGATACACGTCGGCCTGATGCATGGCAAGCCTGCTTCACTTATTATGGCCGAAGCCAGATATTTTAATTAAAAACACTACATATGCCATTAAATGTGTTGTTCCCCCTACAGTCCCAAGACGTTATAGTTCGTGGAGATACAAACAAGTGAATGCATTACAGATGTACACGGAAACCACCGCCTACTGAGTCACAACCAGCGGGTTCCCAAATTCTAGCCTCAGAGCGCCTCCCTGTCAAAATGTTCTTTGCAAGCAAACTGTTCCCTCTGTAATTTTCACAGTTTATGGCAGTTGCCGTGGCGGGAGAAAAGAGCCATGGGGAGGCAGGGAAGAGAGAAACACGATGCCACCTCACTTAATTTATAAGCAGATTCTATTATTTTACAAATAATCTTCATGATAAAATCCTATGGTCACACATGAGATTGTGAGGTTTGTTTTTTATTTTTGTTTTTTTTTAACCTTCCTTGTTAATGTCAGTTATTTATTATTTATTTATTTATTTATTTATTTATTTATTTATTTTGAACACTAAAGTCCCACGTGAGAGATAATCACCTCCCACCTGTGAGCTGGGGTAGGATTCTCAAAAGAGGCAATGCTTGCTTAATTTAAGCAGTTGTAGATGGTGTGAGTTCAAAACTTTCAGCCGATTTTAACTGTCGATAGCCAGACTACCTTTCTCCCCAGGAGAACACCAGCAGCTGGATTTCATTTTTGGCTGCCAGGCTGTCTCTGTGCCTCCCAGGAGCAGCCCACAGACTGAGTGCCTTCCCTTTAAGGATTTTATTCAAGGTGACAGCTCCTCACACGTTGGCACTCTGATCACCTGAAGTAGCCGAGATATCAGGGGGATGAGTGCACTCCTCCTGCAAAGTCCAAATTTAGATTGACTAAGGTTATCCTTAGGCCCCTTAACCCCAAGTGCTTTGACCGAACGGGGCTGCCAGGAACTTAGAGGGTGAGTTTTGTAATGATGTCTGGGGAGAAATGCTCTGCAGGAGCGGACATAGAAGACCCCAAGTGATAGGGAGTGATGTCAGCTTTCGTTAGAGCGGCAGACAGTGTTAGAATATCCTTGGCATTATATGGCACTGGTATCTCTGTCAGCATCTCTGTTTTCTGTCACTGCACACAATTCTGGGCCTGTCGCTAGCCCTGACAGTGTCTTTTCAGATCAGGTTATTGCCAGCACAGAGACTAGCTCCGCTCCCCACCACACAGCCCTTTGTTTGAAGTCTGCCCTTTTGTCATCAATGCACTTGATGCCTATTTAAATCTGACGGTGAGTGCAGTATCTGTGTTCCCGTCAAGAGATCATTGACAATATTAATACCTCATGTCCTTGCCTCATTCTCCAAGCTCTGACACCTTGCCAGTCTCCTGCATTCATCAAACAGCCCTCTCTCACCAGGACGTCTATAAACATTCTTGCTTCCAGGCCCGAAGGAACAGGGCAGACCTTAAAAAGGATTTTCATCAGTGCCGACCAGAAAGGAACACTGGGGAACATGGCTCAGAACACTTCACCTCCCTCCACATTTGCAGCCCGTGTTCCAGGAGTAGCCAACTTGTTTCCAGGATGGCATTTGCCGTCCAGGTTGTGTCTAGGCAAGATCTGGAGTTGATGGTTACCAAGGAGAGAGGATGGAGTAAAGAAATTCAATCCCTGAACACACTGGAGGGTTTACTGGAGAGAATGCACCCACTAGTGGGTGGTGTGTGTGTGCACGTGTGTATGTGTGTGTGCATGTCTGCCTTTCATTCTTTTACTCAAGAGAAAGACTGTGTTCTTTATGATATCTGACAGCCCTATCCATTTCTTTTTATAAAAATTCATGCTGTCCTGGTGCTGTGGAAACAAATTAACATCCGTTGGCCTCATCCTTCCAGATTCTTGAGGGTTTATTGAGTCAATTATATTTAAGGAAGCCCTTTGTGGATTTTCAGAAACATCTGAGACCCTCCCACCCAGGCCTGTAGGGGATACTGTTCCTGGAATGGAACCTGACCAGCCAAGCCTGACCAACAGGCCAGTTCCCAGCATTGGTGACAATGTTTGTACTACAGCAGGTGCCACATTATACAGTGCAATAACGGGAGCAGCTCAGTGCCAATAGCCAGAGGAATAATTTTTAGCCCCAAGAAATGTTTCAAGGAGGTCTTATCCAAACTCAATGTTTCCAAGTGCCTAATTTCTGAAAAGCAGAGATTAGGGATTGGGGCCAAGGAGGAAGCATGGCTAAGGGGGAGGAGTGGTCTGCAGTACCCTGGTTCATGGAAACATGACAAATAGTAGAAATGAGAGCAAGCCCAAGACCAGTTTGAGGCCATGAAATAATGTCACTCTCCTTCTCCCTTTTGCTGACTCTCAAAAGATTCTGTGACCCCAGTAATTCCCAACTTTGTCCCAAGCCATCCAAACTGGGGAGCCTCTGCCCTGTCCTTAAAAGTTTCTAAGAGTCATTTTTAATCCTTATTTAAGAATAATATCTAAAGTCCTGTAAATGGAGAGCCATCTCTTGTACAATCACAAAAATATTTACTTAGAACTTCTGCTGTGAAGAACCTGGATAATTTCAAGTGCTAATTTACCCCAAATGAACAATAGATGGTGATTGTTGGTTCCATGCTAACAAACTGATAGAAAAAGTAATCATGCATATAGGTAGCTATTTTATAAGCAGATTTGTGGCCCGTGAATTAATGTTTTATGGATATTTCTTTGCTTTTTTTCTAGTTATGCACACTTCAGAGATGCAAGTACTTTTAGTAATAAGACAACTCTGTGAAGCTGGAGTTTAAGTTAGTTTTTCTAAAATTAGAGAGGGAAAAGCAATATGGCAAAAAGCAAACTGTCATCATAAATGTTTTCTTTGAGAAAAACTGATTTCCCTTAATGATCATACAAAGCTTTCATAATAACTGTGGCAGGTGATTTCTTAAAGATGTTTAGAATATATATGGAGTTGGTTAAAAGATTTGACCTTATTCTAGGGTTTTTTCTTACTTAAACTCTCCTACAATCTCCTTAATGAAACAAAAACTGCACTTGGGGCTAGAAAATTATTTAAAATAAAACCAAAGATGAAAATCAAAAACATTCCAACCTGAGAATTCATTTCAGGCAGCCTGTAAGAAGAAGCCCTTTTGGGGTGCCTGGGTGGTTTGGTCAGTTAAGTGTCCAACTCTTGATAGCAGCTCAGGTCTTGATCTTAGGGTCATGGGTTCTACCCATGGGTTCAGGTTGGGTGTGGAACCAAGTGGGGAAAAAGAAAGGAGTGGGGGAAGAAGAAGCCCTTTAATGCTGGAGGCTCTTGTTAGTTTCCATGTGGCATTTTGTCACCACCACCACTGTTCCTTGATCATCCAGATGTGTTTGATGCCTCCTGGGATTTGGAAGCTTCTCCCTGGATGATAATAATCCTGATTCATGATAAAAGACTTGAAAAGAGTCACATTCTGGGAAAATTGTTTTACATCTTTTACTTGGGTGGGACCCATCTTGAAAGTCTTACTTTTCCATTTTTAGAAACTCTACTAAGGGAACCTAGAGAGAGAAAGGGTTATGCTTTATTTTGAGGATAATTTGGCCAAACTAGAAAAGTCTCTGAAATGCGGAAGAGAATTCATCCAGGAAACATGTTATTCCTAGGAGCCTATGCTCTGGTGACATTTTATTTGAATGCCAACTCTGAGGACAGGAAAGTAGGGTCCTTCTCTCCTGGGGCTTAATCCATTTACTGCTACCCACTGGATCTGAGACCCTGTTGCATATGTTTTTCTAGGCCTGTGTTTCCTTGCTGTACTAATTGTGCCACTTCTAAAGATGTATTTCATTTTCTTTGCAGGTGTCCTGGGGAAATGTCGCTATGTTTACTATGGGAAAAATTCCGAGGGCAACAGGTTTATCCGAGATGACCAGCTCTGATGGCAAGTTCTGTATGCTTTAGCCTATGTCATGAGAATAAAAGAAAATGGGCAAGTAAAAATAAAGAAGAAACTGAAGGAAAAAAAAAAAACAAACAATGGTCCACATTGCATCTCTGTGGGAAGGCTATGACTTCAGCTTTTGGTACCTTCTGCTGACTTTGCCAGGCCTGTCAAGATCATCCTTCTGCCTTAGACTGAGTGGTCACATAGAGATTGACATGATTGCCCTTAAGCAGGTCTCATCCACTAGGGTGACAGACAGCGGCAGCGAAGCACCAGGGCTGACAGGAGGAACACCATGATAGATTGCCTGGTCCCTCCACTGCTCACAGGGGAGCAGAGGTCACACCTGGGGCCTCCCTGAGCATGCTCACTGGCCATAGTCAAGCGAGAGAGACTGTGTCTTCAACCTGCCTATTGAGTAGAGATCCTTCTGATGCCATTGTGCTGTGGGCTTATTTTTAGTGAAATAGTCACAATTTAGAGGAAGGTTACCCTCCCTGATTCACCTTAAATTTTAATCCCTTCTCTTCTGCACAGCCCTTTCTCTCCCCTACCCCCACAACATACACCATCCTTTAGCAGCTTTGTTACAGGCAGTGCATTCTGGTTTGCAGTTTTTCAGAGAAAAGGAGGTATCCATTCTCAGCCAGGTCATACATTTATGGCTGGCTTTGTGTTGTTATAGGTCCTGGATTGAAGTAAATAGCTTTCCCTAAATCCCTAACTGCAAAAGCATGGACTCCCTCTTGTTTTGTATATTTCTAAATCCACTTCTTGCCCTGAATAGTAGGCAGTGTCAGGCATCTTTCCCAGCACCAAGCTCCGGTTGTACCAAGGACTCTGATTTAAGCATGTATGTATTTATTTATTTTTAACCACACACATGTCCAGCTATGCCTGTGGCTTGCTCCTGGGGGTGCTATTTAAAGATAGTGAGGGGATGAAAACAGAATGTTGGGTCAGGAAGTTAAAGAAAGGACCGCAGAAAACACCCACCAGACCAAGCAGTTTTTATTTTTTATTTTATTTTTTTTAAGATCTTATTTATTTATTAGAGACACAGAGAGAGAGAGAAAGAGGCAGAGACACAGGCCGAGGGAGAAGCAGGCTCCATGCGGGGAGCCCAACATGGGACTCCATCCTGGGTCTCCAGGATCACGCCCTGGGCTGAAGGCGGTGCTAAACCACTAAAGCACGGGGGCTGCCCCCAAGCCGTTTTTTTTTTTAAATAATAAATTTATTTTTTATTGGTGTTCAATTTGCCAACATACAGAATAACATCCAGTGCTCATCCCATCAAGTGCCCCCCTCAGTGCCCGTCACCTATTCACCCCCACCCCCCGCCCTCCTCCCCTTCCACCACCCCTAGTTCCCCAAGCAGTTTTTAATAGAAGGCATAGACCCTTTGAATTTTCCTCAAGACCTCTCAGAACAGATATCCATAGCTCACGAGATGGTCTTTGTGTATCTTTGGCTAAATTCCAGCACTGATGTTACAAGGAAAAGAAGCAAAATCGTACCAGTTGGGTGGCTATAATTTCATTTAATGTACTGATATGCCAGTAAAATCACTCTAGGAGGCATTTGAAAGGTGAGTTGCTCTTGACACAAGAGCATTTACTTTTTGCTTCTTCTGTTTTAGACCAGGTGTTCGTTGTCCAGGATCTCCCAGTACTAGGTTAGCTTGAGGACAGCAAAACCTGAAAAGAGAGTCCTTCCAAGTTATAGATAACACATAACTAGAGAGTTGCTATTGTAAAAGTCTTTAAGGACTCAAAATCCCTGAGGACTGAAAAAGAACCTACTTTCTCAGTTCTAGACCATTTACGTGGCCTCTGGCCTCTGAGTCAACACAGTCCTTGAATGACTTGCAGTGAGGCTGGCAGGAGGCCCTCTTGTAGATTATGCAAGTTAATCACTTATGGAGACAAATTTAGATCAAAATCCTCAAGGCCATTAATAATTAGGGGATATTAAATGTTTGCCTTTATCTCTCAAATCCATTAATAACCAGAGCCGAGTACCTTTTCTCTGTTTGATCTACAAAACAGCATTGGGGCAATGCTTTAAATTAGCTGCTTTAGGTCCCACCCTGGCTCTTTGTTTAGAAGCACCCACACATGTTTTGTCCATGGCATATTATGGGCAGCCAGATTTCTGTGCAAGGGCAGCTAGACGAGTCCAATGTCATATCCAATCTCGCAGCACATATATCCTTGTCTTTATAAAAGGCTTTAACCCTGCCTCAAACAATAAAAAAGCACTTGTGAACTGACCACAGAATTTTTCCATCTTTATTTTTCTTACTTGTTTACTTTTCTTAATGTCAGAACCATTTGTATCATGCGCAGGAATGTCTCCCTCAATGTGAGCTTTGGAGGCAAAAAATATTTTTGGAGTGAATTATTGACCACATTGCTTCCCTCTCTTTGGGTTGTTTATTTTCTTCCAAAATGGTGTAATAACTCTAATTAAGATTAGCTTTAATTATAATTTACGTAAAGGCCATCACTACAGTATATTCATCTTAATGATAGAATTATTACAAGTTTCGCTTCTCTTGAAAAGGGATAATGGTAATCACTTAGTGTTGGGTTGTTTACAGCTCCACTGTTTGTTAAGCAAGATTTGCTGTGTAGAGTGAGTTGTTGGTCTGAATCAGTAGAGCCAGAAATGACGTTGCATGCTTATCTTAAATCTGCAAGAATTTCCCAAACCTTGTTTTTTCAAAGTAGAAAATTAGAAGGTAATAAACTCAATCAAAGCTCAGAATTATTTCATATGTCCAATTGCCCCCTTGGTCTTTCTGCCTTTTACCCTCTTCCATTGAGCTTTTTCTTAGGAGGTCACAGTACTTGACAGCTTTGTATCATCTCTCCCAGGACACCAACCTGCCTTGAGAGCCCCTGCAATAGAAAGCCAACCGGAGTCCTCTGATGCCTCTGCAAAGTCAGGGCGGACTGTCTTTTTCCTAAGTAACACAATTTTATAGAACAATTTGTTCCTTGGGGAATAATGTTTTAGATTGTGGGGAATCCTATTAAAAGTACAACTATTATAATAATTTGCTTTTACTTTTACCAGCCTTGCTCATAAACCCTCCATCTGTTTGTTGCTTTAAATAGAGGCACATTATAAGAGATTATCACTCGATCAGACTGCATGTCTGAGTGTTGTGCATTTTCACATATTCAGTATACGAAGGAATAAAAGAAAGCTAACCACAGATTCTGGATGAAAGGATTTTTCATTTGTTTTATTTTGTTTTGTTTTGTCTCTATGTGTGCGTGGCATGTGTGTGTGTGTGTGTGTGTGTGTGTGTGTGTGTGGTGTTCTCGCAGAGATGTATCTTGCACGTTTTTTTCAGGGAAAATCTTTCTTGCTGCTTCCAAGAAATAACCTGTCTTTTTCTTCTTTGTTAATATGCAGATCAAAAACAATCCACAGGGCTCTTTTCATCAAAAACAGTAACAGTGTTCAGTAGTTGCTACTCATAAAAGCGGCCTAAGTCAGACCTGCGTCACTGCCTAATGCCAAGGGTGGGCAGCTCAGGGTCCATTGAGACTCTTCCATGGTGTCTATCCATTGCAGCTGATCCAAAGTGACATTCACCATCTGCTTATCCCAATTCTGTTTCCAAGAAGCCTTTGCCGAATAAGGGTGTTACCATTACTTGTTCTGCTCTCTCTAACTTGTCCAAATACCATGTGGTAAACTACTGTGACTAGGACCTGGAAAGAAAAATGAGACCAGAGGAGCACAAAACATATTGGTTACTTATTTGTATGACAAACAGACCATCAGCTCTTAGTGGAGTACTGTATATTACTTCCAATGCATCAGCAAACACTTAAGGGATTTGAAGAATATTAGAAGACATAGCCACTGTCCAAAGATTGTGTCTTCCTTTATGTTTACTGGAAGTTTTCCAGCCTTATAAGTTCTTCTCTGGGGACTTATAATGTCCATTTGTCACTTTGTGGGTGAAGTAGGTATTAAGTTAGTTATTTGGGACATATTCACGTTAGTATGTGTTGATTTTTCTAAAATGTCATGGAATGTGGCTTGGAGAACATACAACCTAGGAAAAGAGAGTTTTGCTAAGAGACACGAGAGGAAATTTAAGTGTAGAATGTGTCTGGGAGCGAGTTCCTAAAGTAGGGATGATGTAAACGGTAATAAATGAAATTATGCCAAAGGAGAGCATGAGACAGAGCTGGAAGTAGGATTAAAGTGTGAGCTCACAGTGGACAGGGATTAATAGGGAGCTGAGGGAATAATGAGAAAGGAAGGGAAGATACCATTTTCTGCCCATTAGAAAGGCTGCTGATGTTCAGCTCTACAGTGATATTTAGTGACATCTTCTCCACAAAATGGAATTATCTTTGATATAAGTGAGGAGTGCCACTACTCAGTAATGTTTTAGGACTTTTTCTGCCCAAGACAATGAAACAGTGAGGAAAAGATGGACTGCAAAGCACTGTGGGCATAAGCGGTCCTATAATGTGATGGCTGCCTACGTGTAAAGATGACTATGGAGTGTGGTTAGTATTCAACAAAAACCAGCATCCTAAATTGCATTCCCTTGCTACACGGACTGGCTGAAAGTTAAGGGGAAAACTTCATGTATAAGCAGTTAGATCAGGGAGAGAAAATAGTTCCACACTCTTGCCAAACCTACAAATGTGCATGCAATTTAGAGGTAGAAGGATGCTTTGAGAATATGACACAAATGCCAGTATATTTAAGGAAAACAATGAAGACCTCTATGTAGGACTGAAGATGCTGGCTGTAGGATTTCACTGTCCCTGGGTTCAGGCTGTAAATGGTAACTCAACTCATAGGACTAGTAGATGACACCTAAGTTTAACTGGATAACCTTAATTAGCAAGTAGAACAATCTGGAAATCATTGATGTTTATGTTCTCTCACATCAATTACATTAAACCAATGTTTCCTTTTCCATGTTGGAATAATTCCTGCAATCTTAGAAATAGAGATGAATTTGAGAGGTATTAGGAATAGTTTCCTTTAAACACCAACCTTTCAACTTGACTCCTTGTCATGAGAGGGACAAAGATGGCTCATGGTGGACTTACAATATTTAGACTATTAAGTTATGGAGTTTTGAAATAGGTAAGAATTAATACATGTTATCCAGTCAACAGAGATTATAGTTTAATGATATAGGCATACTTCATTTTATCATGCTTCACGTTATGGTGACTTACAAATTATACACATACAAATTGTGTTTTTTTTTTATCATTGAACATTTGTAACAACTCTGCATCAAACAAATCCGTTGGTGACATTTTTTCCAATAGCATTTGCTCACTTTGTGTCTCTGTATCACATTTTAGTAATTCTCACAATATTTCAAGCTTTCTCATTGCTATTATATTGACCTTGATGATCTGTGATCAGTGATTATGGCTCACTGAAAGCTCAGATGATGGTTGGCATTTTTCAGCAAAAAAGTATTTTTTAACTAAGGTATGTACACTGCTTTTTGAGACATAATGATATCATATATTTAATAGACTATAGTGTAAAAATAATTTATATGCGCTAGGAAACCAACAATTCCATTTGACTCACTTTCTTGCGATAATTCCTTTTATCTGGAACCGAACCCATAATATCTCTGATGTGTGCTTGTGCTCACCTGTTCCATTCTCTCCTTAAAGCATCAAAGCCCATGAACCCAGATTCTGTGCTGCATGCCCTCTGCTTAGTCCATACCTGTAAGTTAGGCCAGCATGTTTTCTCCAAATCCCCCTTGCCCATCTTGCTTCCGACTGATTTAATCTGTTCTTACCTCTCTGATCACATACTCCTTTCGATATGTCTGACTGTAGTGTCACTTCTCATTTTGGCCATTCATTCTCGTTTAGCTTTAGTAATTTTTCAGACATTCCTTCTGGCTTGACTCTTCCACCTTGGGCCTTTGCATTGCTACTCAGACCTTTCCTTTCCTCAATCCTTTGATGTCTCCAGTTGCCTTGGGTAAGAAATTCCATTTCAGGCTACTGTAATCCCAGCCCTAACTAGTTCACAACCCTTGGGGAAGATTGGAGGGAACTTGGATATTACTTGTTTGATGTATATTTTAAAATCCTTAGTCCTGTTAACACTCAACACTGGTTTAATTTCCAGCTAAAAATCCTAAACTGTGGCTTGTAGCTGGCTTCATTACTGAAGGCTAGGTTTTATCTGTGATGGTTTCTCTTATCTTTGCATTTTCCCCATTTAGCTATTAAAGCAATTCCCAGGCGTTTTTAGTTCTTCTCATGAAACGTGTGTTCATGT